TCTGGTGCTTTTACATTTGTCAATTCTTAACCATAATTAACTTTTAAAATAATTACTTTTGGGCCTTCTGGTGGCCCAAGGGGTTAAGACGCAACCTATGAAGCTATCTGCAGCCACTGTAGCATGAGTTCGAGCTCCGACCAGGGAGCTAACCATATGGTGCAGCAGATCTCTCCTGTCTCGCCCGCTGCTCCCCTCAGCAGTGTATTTCGTCAGTCTGCCTGTTCTGTTCCCCACTCTGTCTCTGGTGAATCCTCTCACCCCCCACATCTCTGGCCTGTGCCGCAGTTCTTGTATGCATTAATAAATAAAATCTTTAACAAAACAAACAAAAAAAATTACTGTTTACTCAGAATTTGTTTCTTTTGAGACAGTTTTGGAATAACATATTTGTTAAGAAAACATCTAATCTATCTAAAATTTAAAATTTATTATTATTGATATAATCTCTTATTATAAAAAAGCTCTATCCTACTCCTAATATTGGTTATTTGTGGTTTTCCTTTACCTCTGCTTACCAGATGTTTGTCTATTTCATTAGTCTTTTTGTAAAACCTATTTGATTCTGTTGATGTTTATTTTTGTTCCTTTGATTTTATATAATTTTCTGCTGTTATACTTATTAATTCCCTTTGGTTTTACTCTGTTCATCTATTTTCTTAAATTAGATGCCTTGTTAGTATGTCTTTTCTATACATGATGCTTTAGGATTCCCAGTTCTATTTTCTGATTTATATTCGGGTGTTTTACTTTGACCCATGAGTTAGTAGTTGTGCTTTCTCACACAGATCCTAAGTGGAGACAGATTTGCTTCCTTGTCATTTCCCTGTGCTCAGGGCTGGCTGGTTTTCCTCTACTTCTTTTGTTTCTTTCCATTTTCCCTTTTTTCCTGAATGCCTACCCTCTAAAATTTCAAAATTAGGGCCTCCCCAGTGGCGCAGCGGTTGAGCGCTGGGTTGCGAAGCTACCCGCAGCCTCAGCAGCGCTGGTTTGATCCCCAGCCACCGGCGAGGGTCCCACATGGCGAGCAGACATCTCCTGCCGCCCGCTGCTCCCCTCAGCAGTGTGCTTCTTCAGTCTGCCTGCTCTGCTCCCCGTTCTGGCTCTGGTGAATTCTCTCACCCTCCCACGCTTCTCACTGTACCCATTGCTTGTATAAATAAATAAATAAATAAATAAATAAATAAATACATAAATAAATAAATAAATAAATCTTCAAAAAAATAAAGTTTCAAAATTATTTGCATTTTTAAAAATTTTCCTTCCTTGTTTTATTAATCTATAACTGAGGTACAGCACTGTGTAAGTTTAAGGTGCACAGCATAATGACTCAACTTACACATATTGGGAAATGACTACCATAGCAAATTTACTTAATATCCATTATCTTATACAGGTGCAAAAAAAAAGAAGTGAAGTGTTGTTTTTCTTATGATGAAAACTTTTAGGATTGACTCTCTTAATGTTCCAATACACAATTGAGCTGTGCTAACTAGAGTCATCATATTATACATTACAACCCTCGTATTTACTTACCTTATAACTGGAAGTGTGTACCTTTTTACTACCTTCATGTAATTAATTACCCCTTCCTCCATGGTTTTGATTTTATGTGACAGCCTCAGTTCAAATTCTTAGCAATGCACAGGTTCAAGATGTTATCTCCTATTCTTGGTAGGCTTTAAGACCCAAGATTCAAGATTGTGAAGATTGAGCCCTCAACTCTCACCCATACTGACACATTCCAGCCTACCCAGCTCCAAAGGGCTGCTGCAGGATGTCCTCTTTCTTTCTAAGTCCTCATTTTATTTTTGGTCTCTAGTAGTTTACTTTCTTGAGAGTTAAAATAATTGAATTTTTTTAAAGATTTATTTATTTCATACAAGAATTGAGGTACAGACCAGATGCACGGGAGGGTGAGAGGATTCACCAGAGACAGAGAGGAGAGCAGAAGGGGCAGACTGACTGAAATACACAGCTGAGGGGAGCAGCAGGCGAGACAGGAGAGGTCTGCCCCACCACGTGGGACCCTCGCCGGTTGGCCGGGATCGAACTGGAGCTGCAGAGGCTGCGGACAGCTTCACAGCGCAGCGCTCAACTGCCTGTGCCACCAGGGGAGGCCCTAAACTAAATAATTTTTAACATATATATTTATATACATTTGAGATATACACAGGCAAATTAAAAACATGTATTTTATTTAGAATTTCTGGATGTTTGCAGGAGGAAGTAATAGCTTTTCAAAGCTTCTCTCTAAAACATCCTTGTGTGATTCCTTTCTCAGGAACTGGTTTGGATGAAGTTTGCTAGGAAGAAACTTGACTGGTCTTTGGAATTAAGCTGTCTTCACTAAGATGTGGTCCAGCTTAAAGTGTGTCTCACAGAGGTCTTCAGAAGCACCAAGGCTGATTTGCCATTTTTGCTAGGATTTTAAATGTCCCCCGTTCTTAGTGTCTCTTTTATTTTTTGTTTGCAATTCCTGATACATTCAGAGAATCATTTTTAAAACAGTTTACTGAGCTGTGTGCAGGTTCCTCAAAACACTAGAAATTGACTGCCATACAACCCCTCCTATGAGTCTACCCCCAAAACCCCAATACACTGCAACCCTATATTTATTGCAGCACTATTTACAATAGCCAAGATATGGAAACAACCCAAATGCCCCCCAAAAGGTTACTGGATCAAGAAGATGTGGTATATATACACAATGGAATACTACTCAGCCATCAAAAAAATAAACTCGTGCTATTTGCAGCAACATGGATGGTGTTGACAGGACTATGCTAGGTGACATAAGTCAGAAGGATAAAGATAAATAACAGGTGGCTTCACCTATATGTTGAATATAGAGAAAGCAAACAAAGTCAGACAAAGATAAACCTTGAAAGCTGATCATAGATATGAGGCATGTAATTTCCAGTATTTGTTGTTCTTACTTGCTTTACTACACATAATTCCCTTGGATTCTTGTCATTTTGCTATAAATGGCTACATTTCATCTTTCCCTATGGCTGAATAGTACTCCACAGTGTAGATACACCACATCTTCCTGATCCAACTGTCTGGTGATGGACATTTAGGCTGCTTCCATATCCTTTCTAAATAATGCTGCTATGAACATTGTAGAAAATATAGATTTTTGCATTGATAGCTTTATGTTATTTTTCATAGATGCCAAGAATGGGAATGCTGGGTCAAATGGCATTTTCATTTTTAGTTTTTTAAGATTAAAAAAAAAAGATCACTTTGAAGAGACTCTCCTTTCTCCATCATGTAATCTTGACTCCTCTGTCATAAATTAACTGTCCATATAGTGTATGTTTATTTCTGGTCTCTCAGTTTTCTTCCATTGATCTGTGCATCTATATTTTATTTTATTTTTTTAAGATTTATTTATTTATTTATACAAGCACTGGTTACAGTCAGAAGCACGGGAGGGTGAGAGAATTCACCAGAGCCAGAGCGGGGAGCAGAACAGGCAGACTGATTAAACACACTACTGAGGGGAGCAGCGGGTGCGGCAGGAGAGGTCTGTTGCGCCATATGGGACCCTCTCCAGTGGCCGGGAATCGAACCGGCACTGCAGAGGCTACGGGCAGCTTCGCAGCCCAGCGTTCAATCGCTGCGCCACCAGGGGAGGCCCTGTGCATCTATATTTTGATACCATACTGTTTTTATTAGTATAGCCTTGCAGTTTTGAAGTCTAGGATTGTGATACTGCTGTGTATCTTTTTCATTAGGATTGCTTTGTTTTCAGAATCTTTAGTGGTTTCATATAAATTTCAGTAATTTTTGTGTTCTTTGAAGAATGATATTGAAATTTTGATATGGATTGCACTGAATCTGTATATTGTATAAGCATTTTTTTTGCAGCAAATCTACTAGATCTCTATTCATCTTGCATGACTGAACTTTTATACCTATTGAAATCAACTCTCCACTTCCCCCTTCTCGTAGACCCTGTCAACCACTATTGTATTCTCTACTTTAATGAATTTGATTCTTCGAGATTTCATTTAAGTGAAATCAAGCTGCATTTGTACTTTTGTGATTGGCTTACTTCATTAGCATAATGTCTCCACATTCATCCATGTTGTAAATTTCAGGAATTCATTCTTCACTTGCTTTATTATCTATCTATCTATCTATCTATCTATCTATCTATCTATCTATCTATCTATCTATTTGAGGTTGACCGAGAATTTTAAGAGCCAACTCCTTTATGACTTCTGCCCCAGTATTTCAATACTAGGCTAAAAGCCAGGTTGCCTTTGTTGAGGGTAAATCTCACAATACCAACTTTTTGAAGAAGTAATGGTTCCTGCTTTTGAGTTGAGCAGAACCATGGACTTGAACTTACTATAAAAAAAAAAAAAAGGCAATCACAACCTGTCTATTTTCTCATTTTAAAATTTCTTTTTGTAGATAATCCTATAGCATACCACTGCCAAGATTATAACTGCTTAGGAGATTCCTGGTTAAATAAAGATAGCATTCATTAACAGCTAATGCAGATAAAATAATGTAAAACCCTAGGGGCAGATCATGATCTCCATTTGGCAGGTTAGAAAAATGAGGCACAGGAAAGTAAAATCTAAGCAAGAGATGATGCTGTAATTCTAATCTAAGGGTGAATCCAGTGCTGCACACTGTTTTTAGAGTCAATTTCCCTGAGTTAGGGAATACAGTATGTCTAACACAGCACCCATTGAGTTTTGACACCCAACAACCAGCATTCATGCTTAGAGGTGTTTGTGTGTGCGCAATATAGCCAGATAACAACTGCTTTTAAATCTTGAGTGCCTTTCCTGTCTGTTGCTATCGCAACAAATGAAAGCAATTCAGGCTATGTTTACTGATAATTTATAAGCAAGTGATAGGAGAAGCTGTAGTAGTTAATGTTTTCTGGAGTACACAAAATACTTCAAAATCTTGCTCTTGCCTGCCTTCCAACTAAATGAGGAACAAATGGCCACTTAAGTGGATAGCTGACTTACCCTCCCCACTTCCACGAGGTTGGTCACCATTATTATGCTTGCAGTGTTTTCATGCCACACCATCCTCCAGAAATCATAAATGGTCTCCTGCATTGGTCCTGCAGAAAAACAGAACAAGGATTTTTTTCTCCTTTGTACATTTGTAAGTAGAAAATTTCTAGGGTTAGCAAATAAATCCATTAATTTCCACATGCCTTTTCCTCACTTTCGTATATGGACAGCTTTCCTTTTAGTGTTAATGCCAAAGGGTATACTTTTCTAAAACGGCATCTATAAAGATACTGAATTTTTCATTCATGGTTGAGTTTTCTCACGTCACCAAACACATCTGCATTTGAGCCTTTTTTACCTCTCTTAAGCTACTGTTGTGAAAGAAAGTTATTTCTTCACTATTTAGCTATTTATCTCCATAATACTCAAGAGTGGAATTTAAAAAAATGGATAACATTACTCTTCCTGCTAAAAATTGGCAGATATCCCAGGGAAATGGTATATAGAATGAAATGAGCCTCTATAGGAAAAATGGCCTTTTCTTGTTTCTAATATTTTTCTTATTCTGTGCTATCTTTCAAATTAATCCATTTCTTTTGCGTGACTTCCTCAAGTGAGGGAGTAGTTAGAGCCTAAGCAATTGTACTTCCTTTCTCTGAACATAATTAGAATATCCTTCCATAATGCTCAGGATCTAAATATTTAAAAGCTCTTTCTTATGGACAGGAAGAAAAATATGTGACAAATGCCTGTGTTATAGATATCAACAGGTACAGAAAGATGGAATTTAAAATTTCTTTTATATCAGATTTTTAAAAAACCTAAAACTCTATTGAATGTCCATGCATATTTGAGAGTATAAACATAACATTATAAATCTTCACAGAGAAGAAGAAATAAAAGAGTCACATGCAGTATGTGGAATAATACAAATGTTCAGGAGCATACTAGGATCAGGACCAGAAGTATCTTAACATTGCAGATTACTGGATGTGGAGCCAAATATTTGATTTGGAGATTTGCTGCTGCTTTTTTTTTTTTTTTTTTTTTTGTGGGACCCTTGCCGGTGGCCGGGGAACGAACCGGCGCTGCAGAGGCTGCGGGCAACCTCGCAGCCCAGCGCTCAACCACTGCGCCACGAGGGGAAGCCTGCTGCTGCCTTTTAACTGACTCTGTGATTCTGGACAAGTTACTGTGAGCTTCAGTGTCCATATTTTTCTACACACTGATTTCAAAAACACTTCTCAGGGTTCTTTTGAGGATTTGTGGAGGCAATACACACTCAGGCATTTTATAAATAGCAAAACACTCAACAAAAACAGGATGCATTCATTTTATTTTATTTTAAAGATTTTATTTACTTTTGGTAGAAAAACTGGGGTGTAAGCCAGAGTTACAGGGGGTGAGAAGATTCACCAGCGACAGAGTGGGGAGCACAATAGGCAGATCTACTGAAATACACTGCTGAGGGGAGCAGTGAGTGAGACAGGAGAGGTCTGGTGGCACACGAGAGTCAGCTCCCAAACTCAGGCTGTTGCTGTGATAGTACTGAGACTTAACCCACAGACCACCAGGGAGGCTTAATAGGGTGAATTTAAGGATATTAATGGCCATTGCTTGGCTGAGGCTTGGACACGGAGCAATAGTGGCACATCTGAGGGGCCACTTCAGTCACCTCTCATTTCTCTTGACCAATTATCAATGAGTTCTTGTGTAATTTTTCTTTTCCCTCTTCACTGACAAAGCCTCCTCCCATTCTTTCCACAACATAAATTTCTATCATTCTTCCTTAGGACTTCTGCATATACTTTGACCCTCCCCATGAAAACAGACCCTACATTCTGATATCGCTGTGTCTAATCACTTACTGGGACCATTCATGTCACCTCCCACAAAGCTGCCCATGGCTGTTGGTCCATATTCCCTGGCATGTGCGTGCCATTCTCCTGATATACAGGCTGGAGATTTCAATGACTGCAATCTAAGGTCACACAGGGGACGAGTGAAACCGGATCCGATCAATTGCTACATTTCTAGCTTGTGGAGAAATACTTCACTGTGTACTTAACAGCTTGTTATTTGTTCACAAGAATAAAAACAACAACCCTGAGTCCATCTTTGTGCAAACAGAGTTTTCCCAATGGTGACCCCTGAAAATCAGGGTGGCCAATGTGCTTTCTGTTTTCTTCACTAGATACACAGGCCTGTGCCACCTATTCTGAAAACCGTTCTGATGACAATGGCTATTGTAGGTGAATCAGATGTTCCAGCACCAGGAAGAACAATTCCCCCTTTCTTCAATGCCTAGTAGGTATCTTCACAGAGAGATTCCAGGCTCAAGTTCTAAAGAGAAATTCACTTGCCCTTTCTTAGCTTTAGACTCCCTTGTGATTACTTGTTTCAAGATCCCTCTGGAAGGGAATATAACTATTTTGGTCTCTATTTCCTTAGTACCTTATGGAATACCTGGCACAAAGCAGGAACTCAGTGAATAAATGAGTGTAAGAATAAGTCTGTACACATGTGTATAAACTATACTGTTAATATTAACTATATAAAAATATTAAATACTATTCATATTTGTATGATTCCCATTCCTGGCTTCCATTTTGAAGATTATTTGAAGAAGTGTGAAAGGGTATTGCTTTAACTCCTTTTCAATTCATCAAAAGGGAGGCATCTTTGCAAGGGTTTTTGCAGAATGAAACTAGGACCACGATCACTCAGTTTCAGAGTTGCCTTGAAGTGCTGAAGTTGAACTGCTGCTCCCAACATTAGGCAGCTCCCCATTTTATGTTTCCCTGCCCGAGGCTTTGCTGCCCGACTCAACTCAGTCGGTTACCCCAGGCAGCCAGAATGTGATCCTAGCTCCCAGTGACTGTCCTATGGAAGGCTATGGTTCTCAGTTCTGGCTACCGGTTACAATTATTGGGGAGTTTTTAACACATTCTGAAGTCCCAACCTAAGAGAAATGGATTTAACTGGGCTGGGGTGGGGGTTGGATCTGGGTGTGTTTTCAGATCTCTCCTGGTGGAGAACCTGGAACATGGGGGCATTCAGCTCAATCTTCTCATGGAGGTGTGATTGTGAAACACCAAAGACTTGTTTGTTTTGAATCTAATGATTAATCTAAGAATGCACACAAGTTCCCCGAATCAGGAAATCCCACTTCTCTCTAATTTATAAGCAACTTCACAAAATGTCATTTACGAACATGGCTGTACCACTTTGCCAAGAGGCAAGGCTCATCGAAAGTGACAGAGGACTGTTTTTAATGTTTATATAACTAAATTTGGGTTTTTAAAATAAAGGGTTTTGTAAGTATTAGCAGCTCAGCTGGTGATGGCATTCACCTTAGTCATCACGATTTTCTTGCCCACCGACCTGGGCTAAAACCAAAATAGATTAGGACAGAAAAATGAATTAGGTGAGGCTCTTTTCAGTGCTAAAATTAGGTACAAGCATCTGGAAGAGCTCAAACAGTTTAGTGTTAAAATATGACAATTAAATTAAACACAAAGATTATTCTAAGTTGATTTCAGAAAGAAAAAAAGTGCAAGGGAAGGGCCCCCCCTTCTCCCCCTGGTGCAGTTTGCCTGTTCCTTCCTGTCTCTTCTCTCCTTCACGTGTGACCCCGGGCCTGACCTGCTTGCTCTGGCTATTCTAATGAAATTCCTTGAGACTTAACCCACAGACCACCAGGGAGGCTTAATAGGGTGAATTTAAGGATATTAATGGCCATTGCTTGGCTGAGGGTTGGCATTCTTGGGTAATGAATCAAGATGCTCCTGAATGTTCATTCAAATCTTGTACTTTTTTTTTTTTTGAGGGGGAGGGGGCAAAATAGAAGAAGGAAGTCACCAAGTTTAAATGAGAAGTCACCAAGGTTTTAAATGAGAAATTTATCAATTCTGTTTTTCTTTTCTCCCTGACAAATATATTTCAGATTATTTCATGAGATTGGAATAAATTATGCCTCAGCAATATAAGTCACCTGACCACTTCGATGAACAGAATGGAAGCCAGAGGAGGCGAAGACTTCACTGAACCTGAGAACAACTCCATTTGACTTTAGCAGTTTCTGGTGGGTCTAAGAGTCTGTGGCTATTTTGAGTCAACATTATGAGTCTACAGCAAATGCTTGGCACACAAGGTGGCTACTCTGGCATTTACATCCTGGCAGGGTGGACATTCAGGGAGAAACACCACGGGAAGGCCAGTAATGCTCTGCCTTTGCTGTCTGTCTCCTAAAAGTGAATGGCAAGTGCCCTTTCCTGGAGGGGAGTACTGGTAGAGAGGTCACTGGGGATGGCTCAGAAGGTGGGCAAATAACTAAACTCCCAAGACAAGGAATTCAAAATGGCAGGTAAAGGACTCTGAACACCCTCCCTATCAGATATGAACAGCACCATACAGTCTTAGTATTTGATCTCTGCAGTTTCTGGCTGGATAGGAGCTCTGATGGTTGTGGCTATACATTTATAGATGTTTGCAAAATAGGCGATATGGTGATTCTCAGCAGTTGTTCCCATGGCACTAAAACGTTTGAAAAGTAAGGTCTCAAAATTCAATAGGATTAGGTCAGTAACACAGTCCATTTCCCTCACAATAGCTGGCATACACAGACCTCTTCTAAGAAGGAAATGTGTTGCGGGGCCATTCTTATCAACACCAAGCCCTGAAGGAATAGCAAAAAAAGAGCAGAAAGAGCTAGAGTGCAATAAAAAATCCAAAGCAATGAAAAGCATAAGTGAAAGACATTCAAGGATGGGTTCTATTGTGTAGATGAGTTCTCTAGTTTTGGGAAGTGAGAGAGATGAAAAATAATATTTCCAAACCTTGAGAGGTAACTTGTTCCCTTTCTCTTCACATTCTAATTTCTGTATGGTATGTTTTCTATGTTAACTAGGGTTGCTGAGAAGTCAAGGTCCTTTAAGCTCACAGTGGTATATTAGAGTTTTTTCAAGGGAAGAAAGATAGCACAAATACAAATTGGTATTCCATCACAAATAGACTAACACCTAACTTCTTTTGAGTGATAATATTATTTCCCTGGTCCTGTTGAACGCGCTTCAGTTTAAAACTCACAATCTTATGTAATAGGTGC